TATATATATATAAATTGAAAAGTTAAATTCTTATTTTCTTCAGGATCAAATTTTTGGCACCGTTGTAAAATAAATAAATATAAGTAAAAACTATAATTAAAGTTATAACAATTGTTATAGTGTTCCGTATAGACAGTCGGATCACCCCCCTCCCACATACCCCCTTCGATCGAACTCTTCCCTTACCCTGGCTGCGTTCCTTCAGGACTTCGCTGCGCTCCGAGATCCATTGCCCCTTCCTGCAAACCAAAAATCTTCTCGTTAAATTTTTATTTTCTTCAGGATCAAATTTTTGACACCATTAGAAATATAAGTAAAAACTATAAACAGTCGGGATCACCCCCCTCCCACGTACCCGCTTCGATCGAACTCTTCCCTTACCCTGGCTGCGTCCCTTCAGGACTTCGCTGCGGTCCGAGATCCATTGCCCCCTCCTGCAAACCAAAAATCTTCCCCAGCCGTGTTTCTTCCTTCAGGACTTCGCTGCCCTCCCTCATCCTGCCCTAAGGTTCTTCTTCATCGGAGATCTTGCAGGTCTGCATATTCTTAATTTTTGTTTCTTCTCCATTTTATGGATAACAAACGACGATCCTCCCTCAACAGCTTCGACTCCTTCTTCCTCTCAAGTTCTTGACCTCCTTCGGTTTCTTCGGTGATCTCGCAGGTATATGATTTTGTTTTTTTTTGTTTATTCCATATTCTCAAAGGTTTTGAATCCTTCTTCCTCTCATATTCCTGGTCTAAGGTTGCTTTCCTCTTCACTTGTCTATCTCGTTCCTTGGGATCAAGCCTACAAAGTATTTTTCTATTTTTCTTCATTGCGTATTCAGCTTCTCTGGAAAAGGTTCAATATTTATGGAATATCAAGATAGTTTTTTATGAGTAATTGCTTCTCTGGCAAAGGTGTTTGTTTGAACTATAGGAAGTCAATTAAGGGATAGAAATGAGGATTATATCATGTGTGAATACCAAATGGATCTTATGGTTTTTGTTTTTGTATTTTTTTTTTTGGAATTTGTTCAATAGGTTAGCGTTCTCTTTATTATGACTTGTTTATGTTTTCTTATGAGAATTTTAACTTGCTCTTTATTTTGATTTGTTTATGTTGTTTAATAACTTGCTCTTTAAGAAGTAGTTATTGTTTTGATCATGTTAAAAATGTTTCATGCATATGTATGTCTATTACTATCTAAAAATGGTTGTGTATGTGAACCTTTTGTTTGTGCTCATGTGTAGCAATCCATACATAATGTTATATTTAGCAAATGGTTTTGAGTCAACTATGAAAAATTATATCCTACATTTTGAAGTGATCTTTTATTTTGTTGAAATTCAAATGATTTGTACTTAAGCAAGTTTTACTTCATTTGAGCACCATCATTATTACTAGAAATGGAAAATTTTTATTGAGCTATCGTTCAAATGAAAATTATTATTAATATTTGAGATTTGCTAAATATAAAATTATAGTTTGCAGCCAATTCTGTTATATTCTTATATGATTTGCATTTGATGTATTTTATGAACTTATTACGAGCTGTTTCTCATATTATTTGATTTATATCAACTCTGTCAAATTTTCTAAATTATGTTACTGTTCCTTCTCATTGTTTTGCTTTATTGTAATAATAGATAGACTAATAAATCTTAAGAGCTTGGTACACTGGCACTGTGGAAAAAAGTAATAAAATTAATATTCTGCGACCTTTTCTTTAATGAAATTTAATTGGGCAATAGATCAACCATCTTTTTCAATAAGGAAGAGTGACAAAATATTATTAAGAATTTTAGGGAATGTACGGGTAGGGAGTATGACAGACTGCAAATGAAAAACAAGTGAGATCAACTGAAGAAGGATTGAGAAATTTGGAAGGATTTGAAAACAACCTCAACAGATTTGGGTTGGGACCCAATCAAACATACCATTGATGCTCCAGAAGAGTGGTGGACAGAAACACTTGCAGTAAGAAATTTTTGAACCGATTTAATTTGAGTCATTTAACTTTTTTCATACTAATTGAAATGTTTGATGGCTTTTTTTTCGTAGGTGGTGGACGCAGCTAAAAAGTTCAAATTTTTTGGACTTGAACCCCATTTTGAGGAGAAATTAGATCGAATGTTTGGGGGGTGTTGTCGCAACAGGCAATTATGTCTGTGCTACAAGCAAGACAGGGTTTGGTGATACATAGGAAAATGTTGTTGTTAGCCTATCAGCTGATTAACTAGAATTCCACAGCCAAGAATTCTCAAAATCAAGTCAACCAACCGGTCTAAGCGCTCTAGTGTGGAGAGTGAGAAAGAGGGTCGAGCTGCCTCTATAAAAAAAAATAGATATCATACTTGTTCCGAAAGACGCAAAAGGTGTTTATCGATCTACTTGCGAAACTAACCCGATTCCATGGTCTCCATGGGTCATCCAGGACGACTGAATGTGAGGTCTTAGCGATTACTCTGTACATATTGTCACAAAATGAGTCAGTACGCAGTGCGATGGAACGATTCCAACACTCATCGGAGACGATAAGCAGATACTTCACTATGGGTTTGAGTGCTCTTGTCAATCTCTCCACAAAAGTCATAAAACCATCGGATTCATTTCTTCAGTATTAATAAGTTCATTTCTTTGTATTGATAGCAAGTGGGATGTTGGAACATGGATGCCATTTGATAACATAACTTTTTTTGTATTGCTAATTATGTAAGAAGTTTCTTTCTTCAGTTTTATGTTGCATAACTACACATTTTTAGTTCTTCTTTTCACAATGAATTCTATCATGCATCTGGAATAAAGGAAAGATTTGGGTGATGTTTCTTAAAAAAAAGAATTCCTTTTACCCAAACATACCTCAATGATTTGGGTGTATCTATCAAAAAACTCTATTTAGAGCACATCAACACATGACATGAAAATATGGTTACATTATCTTTCTATTGCTAGAGCATAAATATGGTGAGACACTTTAGGATGGCTTAATATTTTAAGCAACCCTTGTTGCCATTACCATTTTTACCATTGTTGGCATTGTGCCAAGAATTTGGACTTAGAAGATTGTAAAATCTTACATAAAAGAGCCTGCTGTAGTTCTTTCATTCTTTAATTTTGTTTGGAAATAGTCATGATTGGAGGCTTGGAGCTGGGGAAAACTGCAACTGTTTTGGAAATATTCACTTTTCTGTTGTTATTTGATATGTACCATGCTATCAAATGGATTTACATATGTTATGCTTTGATATGGTGATCAATTTGATTGTCCTTGAAAGCAATCTCTTCTCTATGGAGTTGTTGTTCCGTGGATCAATACATATGCAAGGTGATCAATTTAAACCTTTTTGTACATATGCAAGGTGGCATGTGTGTAAAAATTTAAGTTTAGGCGGTAGATACGTGAATAACAGATCTTCATCACCCCTGAATATTATAAGGGGGCATGTGATAGATAACTTCCTTGGTTGGACTCCTTCCCACTGTTGCCAAATGCCATACGTTGGATGGTTTGGAGTCCCAACAGCTGGTTGCTATTATGTTCACCTACTGATGCTAATTATGTGGGATGACGAGTATCTTTTTTACAAAAGCATGGGTTGAAATCCCATCTATTGCCTTTGCTGGTCCCTACTATATATATATTGCAAACTTCGGTTAACGGTATGCTACAGGAAGACTTCTGTTGGTTGGAACCTTTTATATATCATTCCGTTGTTCCTGGAAGGGTTGTTTCATTTCATAGATGCAATGTAGTTTAGAGAGATGTGTTTCCCCACATTAAAACTTTGTTTTTTGCCTTCTACCTTCCTGACTGAATTAAATGAGGGCTGGGATGTTTGGATCTGCAGACTAGAGCCTTTAGTGCATATTGAGGCATATTTTTTCTTTTGTGGATAAAATTTGTGCTTCCTATTTCGGTTTTCCCATATGAGGATGCAATTTTGTGTTTTGATTAGGTGGGCTGTACGTGGTGACTGGAATGGTTTGTGATATAGTGAGCGCTTTATGTGTTGGTCACGGGGGCTGTGCTCTATCCTGATAAATATTTACATTCTATTTTGTACCCAGTTGAAATCTTATCACTTGTTCTTTGGTGGGAGCAACACAAGATTTTGATAATTTTGAATTTTTTTTTGCTCAGTATAATCATTTTTGATGATCTTATTTATGGGGATTAATGTTATGAGTTGTTCCCCTCAGCTGTTGAAACTTTTGCAGCCTGAACTGGGGCTTTTACTTATGGGGATTTATGTAATGAGTATTTATATGGGTATTTGAGAATGGAAGCAATAAGAACAAAAGGTGTGGCAGAGGCTTTCTTTGAATCTGATCAACAAAAATAGCAACAGAAGCCTTCTGATTAACGATAGGCTTGTCTTCCTCTTCGAAAATACACTGCACTTTCATCTTCGATAGGTAAGGATGTTGGAAGTTGTTAGTCCCTTTGATCTCTCCGGCATCCACTCAACAATCAATTTAGGTAACTCAGGTGTATTAATTGGTAAGGTTGAGAATTCTAAATTTGCATGTTTCCATTTTATTTTAGATGAGAGTACTCAATAATCATACTGCTCAGCTGAAAGAAGTACTTTTTCTATTTCATTAATAACCTCAATTTTCATATGTTGAATAATTTTTTTTTTTTCAATTTTATTGTTATTTACCAATTTCAATGATTTTTAGTTGGAGGGTCTGACATTGGCCATGCATAAGAACAAAGAAGGCATTGGCCATCCTGGTTGAAAGTTACTGTTACATATGATCTAGATCTTACAGGTCCAAGATCAATTATGAAGTGCATTGGAGATATGCAAGTTCCCTGTTCTCTTTTCCTGTATTTGTGTTCTCTATGGTGCTTCTTATGCTTCCTCCTTATGGGGATTGGCTAAATAGCAAGATACTCAATAATCTAAATATCGGAATGCTGGTGAGATTGTTCTTTTCTTCTCCTGTGTGATTTTCTTCTCCTGTGCAGTTTGCAGTAAATGGTTAATCTGAGTCTCCAATCTGTTTTGATTTCTTTTGCTTTTTCTAAGTAAAAAGGGTGAAAAGAATCCCTGATTTGCGCTTGGGATAAGTTCTGTCATGAAGTATACAATAGTGTAAATTTCCTAGACTATTTTAGTATGGTCTCAAATAACCCTCTTGGGTTTGAGTGATTCATATGCCTATGTTGCAAGATGATGGTGGATTAAAGTCGAATGACATGTATTAATGCATTATTGATGGTTTACTCTGCAAATAAAACACATCAATATTGATGCTTTACTCTGCTTTTACTTCTATAGATTTATATCACTTGAAATTCTTTTTTTTTTATATTTGGAGGAATGTCTAAGGCAGCTGATGAGCTCTTTCTATTATATAAACTGAGGTGGAGTCCACATATTCTCTGGTGAACATGTCAATCAACTTGATAGTCTCAACGCCAATATTTTTCAGATATTTTTAAGCTTAAAATAATTGACTAATGGATTGTATTTCGCTTCTTTCAGGAAATATGAGCTTCAGGAACTCAGGGGCATCCTGTAGAATACTATGCTACTACGGACTAGAGACTTCCTTTCTGAGGTCACGACAGACCCATAACTACAGTCGATACTTTTATAGATTCCCCCGGAGACTCGCAGAATAGTGTGATTTTTTCCTTTGGGCTGATGGTCAGGTGGATTCCATTGCTGGAAGTGATCACGAATTGATAACATTATTGGAAGACAGTTTAGGAGGAGACATCCATCGCCTTCGTGTTAAAGACAATATCATTATTACTATACTTGTAATTTTATTAATTTTTTTTTTCATAGAACTTTTGATACTCACTATTAAGTGAGTGGTGTATTCGTACTATTGTTATGTTTTGACACGAATTACTTCTAAATTATCAAATTTGTCGCTGTCATTGTTCTGTTTTATATAGTTTTACTAAATAGAGGCAGAATGATCATTTTTCTAGAAACAGTTGCCCCACAGTTATGCTCACACAACTGCATCAAACATGCTGCCAGCTTCCCTGCAGCAGCTTCCACACAGTAGTTTTCTGGGACAGTGCAACTACAGCTGAAAAGCTGTGCCAAACAGAGCCTTAGTGACAACCTTTTCAATTGACACTGTTAGATCGGCATCATGTAATCTTTTTTTGATGCATTTTTAGATCTTGCTTCCATTCTGGCTCTTTCATTCATTCTGTAGAGCAGATTGCAAGTTGTGAATTTTTTTTTTATGGATCAAAATCGTTGATAACGTACTCATTATTCTCTTCCCCTTCATATTTTATTTCAAATATAATTTATGCCTTTTTAATCATTTTTTTTTAAAAATATAGCCATCAGCCCTCAAATTACCAAAAGAACACAAAATTCTAAAAATCAACGGACAGTTCGTACTTCCTAAATTGAAATTTGAGGCGTTCAAGCACCTTGATTGACTGATCATACAACATGAGCAAATTTAATCATAAAGCATATGCCTTCATCAACAAGAAGGTTAAGATTTCAACTCGCAAGATTTGACTAAGTTCATAATTCTAGAACATATTGAAATGACTGTTTCCGGGCTATTATCCGGATATTCATCCACAACCAATATTTTTCGTTACACACAGGTTTTCACTCACGATTTTCCGACAGACCAAGCTCCGTCCTACAAACCAATAAGGTTTGTAGAGGTGGTGACGCCGCCATCAACAACAAGGTTATGCCCGCTCACATACTTGGACTCATCGCTGGCAAGATAGAGCACCGCTTCTGCTACATCCCAAGCCTTCAGCGTCGTGCCCTTGAGATTCGCCAACCTGTTCACAAACTCCTCCATCTTCTCCACCTCCTCCTTCCCCACCACGCCCTTCCCCTCTTCCCTTTCCTCCCTCCACGCGTTCACCAGCATAGGCGTCGCCACCCCGAACGGTGAAACGCAGTTCACCCGCACCCCGCTCGCCCCCAGCTCGCACGCCGCGTTCTTGCTGAGCCCTACCACCGCGTGCTTCGACGCCGTGTACGCATGTGGCCCGAGCCCCCCCGTCACCCCTGCAACGCTTGCCATCGAGATGATGCAGCCAGACCGGCGTGGCCCCATGACCCGCGCAGCGTGCTTCATTCCGAGCGCCGCACCGCGCACGTTGACTCTCATGACGCGGTCGAACTCCTCCGCGTCGAGCTCGGTGATGCTCTTACGAGTGCCGGACTGCCGGCCGAGTACGCCAGCGATGTTGCAGAGAATGTCGAGGCGGCCGTGGCGAGCGAGGGTGTGGTTGACGGCGGACTCGATGTCGGACTCGAGTGTGACGTCGCAGTGTATGAAGGTGGCGGAGGGGAAGAGTGAGTCGGCGAGGGATTGTCCAGCGGTGTTGTTGATGTCAGCGATTACTACTTTGGCGCCGTGTCGGACGAAGAGGCGGACAGTAGCTTCGCCGATGCCTCCGGCTCCGCCGGTGATTAATGCGACCTTTCTTTCAAGCCTGTTGAGAGATTGAATTAAAGTTTGGTCAAAATTTAATTTTCTTAGTTATTAATTTGAGAGTTTTGGTCGGTTAGGAGGGCAAATTGATAACCTTTTGTGTATGTGCGTGCCGCTGTCGATGCCAATGGCCTGCACGCCTTCGGGACAAAGAATAACATCAGGAATCAGCTCAACGAGTGTCATGGAAGGGACAAGTAAGAAAGACAGACCGGGAGGTGTCCGGCAAGCAAGGTGGGTTTAAACTTATTATAAGGCTGGAGCCCGTCCATAATGAATCTCTTGTATAGCAAAATTGTGTACCACTATTGTTATAGAAAGAATCTGCAGCCATGATGACTTTTCAATTGAGTTGAATCCAGAAATTTTACTTATTTATTTATTTTTTAAATTTTAAGGGTAAAATTAATGTTAAGATATTTTTTAGAATAAGGAGGGTAACGCTAAATATATTCAGTGATATATAAATAAATATTATTGAAAGTGAGTTAAAAAGAAGATCAAATGGCGATAATTATAAATAAAAAAAACTTATGGATCTATTTAAAACAACAAACAGAAACAAGAAGAATAAAAAAAAAAAAAAAAAAAAAAAAAAAAAACTATCCAATCTGACGCTAATATGGGGATAATTGCCGCTAAACTTGATTTGTGAAGATTTATGTTGGAAATGGGATCCACACATAAACTGGGTCAGTAATGCAATTAGTGTCAAACATGTCCCACACAAACATCATGCCTTGGCCGTAGCGTTTGTTAGTATCGCTATTAACAAACTTCAATGTGGTCCACTTCAACAATAACTTTTAACGCCATAATTTACGTTGAAATGCTGCAAAAGCAAACTAGTGTGATATTTGCGTTGGTGCAGTCTGTCGAAAATGTATGTTAGTTTCAGAATGAATATATCTAATAAAGTAAAAAAACAATAGTAGTTCTTAGCCTGGGAATTTCCGAAACAAGTTCTACTATAAAAGAATAATCAGATTTTCATAAACGGCACACAACAAAATATCTAAATGAATATTGAACTTATTATGATGGTAAATTTAAATTATGAGTCTCCTCTCATACCATATATACCTGTCTTGAGGTGTCCACCCTTGGAGGGGTGGAAGTCGAGGGGCCTAGCTCATCGGCGAAGAGAGTTGGTAACTGAGTGACAGTTGGTGTTGGCATGGAGTTGGTTCCTGAGGGGGAGCTAATGTGGGAGGGGTAGTAGTGGGAGAGGTTGGTGGTCAGAAAAGAGTAACAAGACTGATCAAAGCAGTGATACAATGTACGGGAGTGGTTGTAGTGGAAGTGGTGCTGCTAATCAACACAAATCTTGTGATTTGTTTGTCAGAGCGAGTAACTAGCTTCTTCATCCTCTTGTAAGTACTCGTTATAGTGCCCTGAGGAAGAGGTTGCTGAGGTGGCTGACCAAAGGAAAATATGTTGAAATTTTCATACTTATTTTATACTGTTTTTGATGATATTGCACTTTAAAGAAATGTATTTTTGATGTTTTGTTGCAGGAATGATGAATTAGGGTTATTGGGGCAAAAAGATACAAAAATGAGCGAATTTGGAGCGAAAATGACCAAAATGTGAAGAATTGAACTAGGGCGCTGACGGCGAGATTTTCCCGAGACTCCTGAATTAATTCACTTAGAAGGCCCGCCGACGGCGCCCTCGAGGCTGTCGATGGCGAGATCGACGGTTATGTCCAATTAGACATTGAATAAGGACGAATTTTGAAGGGGTGCTTAGGCAACTCTTGGGAAAGCACATCCACATCTTTAAAGAGAAGACTTTAGCCGAAAATAGAGAGGGAGACTCAAAATTGAAGTGTAAGAAAAAGAGTAGAGAGTCTAAATTGTGAGGAATTCTTCGAGAGATTGTAAGAGTGGAGGGAAAGTGAGAGATTTTTTCCTCCTTATCGCTTCGAAGAGGAATTCTATGTGCTGTAAAGAAAGGAAGAGATTCAGAGGAACTTCGAGAAGTTTTCTTGGGGAGAAATTAGAGATAAGTTTATTTACTTGTTGTAGTTTGTATGACTTTGATTTTATATATGAATTCCGAGTTTTGTTGTTTTTTCCCCATGAGATCTGAGTAGTTTTCTGTCTTTCTCCTTATCTTGAGATTTGTGAAATGGTGAGTTGAATTGGTGAAGCCATGAAATTATTTAAGAAATTGTGATGTTCTTTTCACTTCGATCTTAATTTACTTTCAATCTGGCCAATTGATTTGTTAAAATATGTTGAGTTTT